GGTGGTGGCGGTGGCGGTGGCGGTGGTGGTGGTGGTGTATATGGTTGGGCCCAGCAGAGAGGCCGAGCAACGGAGGAAGGCAGAGAGGAGGGAAGCCTCCCAACGGCACCCAACAAGCCCCAACTGGCCTCCGAGATGCCCGAGGCGCCGTCCCGCGGCAGCCTCCCTGGCCCCCTCGAAGTCAATCGCAGCCCGGAATGCTGCGCTGACAGGGCGGCGGAATCGCCGGGGGAGGCCACGCGAGGCCGAGGGATGGGGGAGGGACGACATGAGCGACGATCAAAAACGGGTCTCACGCGAGACGACGTAGCGAACTTACGCCGCGGCTTACGCGGGCCGCCGGCGCGGCGCGCGACATCGGAAGCGAGGGCGCGTGCGCGCTACCTTACGCGGGCAACTTGCGCGCCAATGTCGGCGCAGACGGCCCCGTCTTTTTGGCGTCGCTCAAAAGGGTTCGAGGCTTTGGGTTCCCTGACACGCTCGTCGGTTCTCGGCGATTTCCCGGCCTGGGCTGGCTCTCTCCGACATCTCCGACGGCATGGCGTGCTCGATCCGGGTTTCTTTCCTAGATTTCGGACTCTGGGGTTAGGTCGGGCGTGTCCTTCTACAGGGGGATTTCGGACGAAAAATTAAAAATAGTCAAACAATAATCAAAGAGTCCTCCTCTTACTACTTTTGAATGTCCCTCCTGTAGAGGGACAGGCCCGACTTAACTCTGGGGCCCGTCATCGGGCCCCGTGGCCATGGACATGGGCCCAGGAAGACGCACGACCCCTGGGGGAAGGGGTCGGAAGCTCTGGAGGTGGAGCTCCGGGAGGCCGAAGAGGGGTTGGAGCTCCGAGGATTTCGGTCGCTTTCGTCGGCTCTCAACAATTTTCCAACCTGAGGGCACTCTCCAGCAACAACTGGGGCTCGCCGAGAGCGTCCCGGGGGTGCCGGGATCGTCTCGAATGGCCGCCAGTGACCCGAGCGATGGCCCGAAAACCAACGGCAACGGAGGAGCGCAGAGAGGAGGATGAGGATCATCACGGCTGTCACTTACAGTGGAGGCCAGTCCACAAGAAACCTTCCACTAGAAACCCAACCCTGAGACCCCAAGACGTCCATTGATTTCTGGTGTGGGAACGTCACGCCTTCCATCGCAAAACCATCGAAGCCCAAGAAACCCAGGGCACCCTGGGAGGCAAGCAGGGTCTTTCCTTGCATGGGCCCCCGCTGTAGGGCACGGGCGGGTCTCCATCACCCGTGGAGCGTTGCCTGGTGAGCGGAGGTTCTGGCATCCTCGTGGCCTCAAAGAGTGGGGGAGATGGGCAGTCAGGGCGTGGAGGTGGTTCGCGTGGATCGCTGGTCGGTGTTCCACCTCCGAGCGGTCTACCTGTCGCTGGCCATCACACCCCCACCTCACCCCCCTTGCTGATAGAGGAAGAGGAGGAGGAGGAGGAGGAGGAGGAGGAGGAGGAGGAGGAGGAGGAGGAGGAGGAGGAGCAGGAGTTACTGCAAATTCGTAGGGACTTGAACGAACGACGCGTAAACTGAGGACCCTGGTGCGCGCCACACTGGTCATGCTTGTGAGCCTATCGAACCCTCGACCTGAATCCCCATGGTAACAATCCGTTAAACGATATGGCATGCTTTGCCTACTTTGCTTAGCTTGAACTGGGATTGTATGCTAAGATCCCCCAACACATCCGGCCCGTGCACGCGATCCCAATAGTTACAAGACGAAGGCGCGCGCGCAGTGGGGAGGAGGAACCAAAGGAAGAGCACATGACAGGCAGGAAAGGCAGCTTGCCTGCGCCGGGCTCAACGCCGACTTCTGGCAGCTGCCCCGAATTTGCGGCGTCCACGCCTGCGCTTGTGTGCGCTGAATTCGCATGGCACCCGAACTACATACTAAATTACATAATGCACTGCGGTCAAGACTGAAGGCGATGGAGAGTGCCTCGCCGCGGCCCCCCCCCACTTCCCTGACTACCTACCAGACCACCCCAACCCAACCCGAAGACCGGAATTTGACCCGAATTTCGGGTGTACGGGTTCCATGTGCTTTTTCAATGTTCCCCGACCCCCCCCCCACTGGAAATCGAGGATAAATTTGGGCCTTCCGGTTGGGTTGGGGGGGTTTGGTGGGTGGTGAATTCCCCCCCGCGGACCTGGAACAAGATCGTCGGACGGAGCCTCGCCGCGCCGTTCAAAGACCTCGCCACGGAGACGCCCCGAGACGGCTCACCGAGTGCGCTTTGTCGACGTGTGGCCGGCACTGGGCGGCGCGCCCGGGGGGGAAAGGAGAAGGGGCGGGCCTTCTCAGAAGGCTCGGAAGCTTCCCGGCCTTCCGAGAAGCTTCTTGTAGGCCTTCCCCGAAGGCAAGGGAAACCTCTCAGAAGGCGCGAGGGCTTCGGAGAGGTCCCGCCGCCTTCTGAGAAGGCCTTCTCCTTCTCACTTCCCCCCTTCGCTCGCCGCCGAAACACTTTCAAAAGGAGGATCAGCGGCATCATCGAAGCCGCCCTGGTCAGGAGAGGCGCCGCCTGCACACCCACACACTTTGTCCTGGCTCCGGGCCGAGCCTCGGTCTAACAGCCCTCCGCGAAATCCAAACGCAAGCGACTGCTTGCAACCGTGCGTCCATTACGGGGGAGACTCCGCATGCGTGAAACAGGCGCCAAAAACAGCCAAGATCCACTCCATGAGGGGGGGGTAGGGGAGGGGGCGAGGGCCCGCGCCAATCGGCGAAACAAAGAATAAGAAACGATCCCCTGGTCGACGCGCGACACGCGGCGCACGGGGTGAACTTTGTGTGTCTGCAATCGCACGCCGGGCAACCCGCTTCTCGGTGGCCCGGTTTAGCTCCATCGCGGGTGCGGCCCTTCTGCCCCGCCGCCGACGGAAAAAGTGTTTGCAGTCGCCGTGTTCGGTGCGAACGTTGAGATTCTGGGGCCATGGGGCGCCGCCACGTCGCGGGAGAAACTTGCGCTTGGCTTCGAGGAGGAATGCAGGATCGGTGTACACTTAGGTCGGGCATGTCCTCCTATAAGCGGATTCTGGACGAGAAATGGAAAATAGTCAAAACATGACCAACCATATTCACAAGAGCACGGACGATCGTCACCAGACGTTGTTTTACTATGCTTGCATGTTCCTCCAGTAGAGGGACATGCCCGACTTCAGAGTACACGCCGTCTGGACTTGGGCAGGGAAAGCACATGCACTGACTCTGCGCCTAGGATCGGCCCCAGGAGCCGGGAGCGGTGCAGGTGTTCAGAGGTGGTGCCCTCCGGCTGGCTCCGGACCCCCTCTTGTGCCTCGGAGTGGCACGCGGTGCTGTGCTGCTGCTTCTGCACGGCACCCCGCAGTTGCGGATATGGGCGGCGAGCGAGGGGAGGAAGTGAGAGGGAGGAGGCCTTCTCAGAATTGAAGGATGAAAAAACGGCCCTACCCTGGGTTACAAGTGCGTGGTCTGTAAACCTCCTGGGAACCCCCAAACCCTCTGAGAAGGCAGTCTCCTTCTCACTTCCCCCCTTGCTCGCCGCCGAGGATACAAGTGAGGGGGCGGGCTATCTTGCACCCTCCCGTAATCCAACGCAGGCTCTGCGGGCACCATGCCGGCGCCTCTGGATCGCCAGCTTCCATGCTCACGCCAAGACTTGTGTGACTGCCTTCGCTCCCTCCGATCCTGCTGGCTGCGTTCCGCGGCGCGCGGCGTTGGCCATTGAGACTTACAGTGGAGGTCAGCCCACAAGAAAACTTCCAGAAGAAACCCATCGCTGAGACCCCAGGGCGCTCATTGGTCTTCGGTGCGGGAACGTCTCTCTATCGCAAAACCACCGAAACCCACGAAACCCAGGGCACCCCGGAGGCAAGCAGGGTGTTTCATGGCATGGGCCCCCACTGCAGGATCCAGCGAAGGAGGAGGGGTCCGAACGCACTCGCTTCTGGGGAAAACCAAAGGTACCGCTACCGCTACTCCCCGGACCTCTCCTGGGATGCGTTCTGACCAAACTTTCGAGGCGAATCCATCGGTGGCGACGAGATCCTGAGAGGAGGCCCGAATAGGGGAAAACGGCCGAAGGGTAGAGGTATGGATACCCTTTCCTCCTCTGAGCTTCGGACTTGACAGAGGGCTGCACACGAGGAGGCCAAGCTACGTACGGCGCCAACTGGCACGCCTTTTCCCGGGGGGGACGGGCGAAGGCTTCGGCGCTGGCACCCCAACAGAGCTCTCTCGAACAGCATCCGTGCACGACGCCGAGTGTGCAGGCCACGTTCCTCGAGGAGACGCCTTCGTTGAGACGGGGCGGCTTGGAGGGGGGTCAAAAAAGCCACGCATCCGACGTCGTGTTTATCCGAAACGGCTCCCTGGTGGGGTGGACCCCCAAGAGACCGGCGTTGCATCCTGAATGGTTTTTCGACGGCCCCTGGACCCCGCAAGGGCCCCCGAAGGCCCAACATTGAGAAACAACTCCAGCCGTGTTTTTTTCACGGCGCGGGGGGATGTCAGGGTACCGTGAGGGCACTGGATAAGGAACCCTCGAATAAGGAATCCAGAGTCTCGAAGCCAGTGGAACACCAGTTGAGGCGTGGCCATGGATATCAATCACCGCCGCCCTCATCCGAGATAAAGTATCCTCCAGGGTCTGAAGGCTCCTGACCACGTTCCTTATCGAACGCCCCCACCGTAGGGGTAGGTCAGGTGACGGGGCACTCCCCCCTACAAGACAGCGGAGGCCAGCACGCCACGCGTTACTGGGATCCTCTGAACGAGAAGGACACCAGCTTTAGACCCCTACACCGCTCCTGGCCAGGGCCACCCCGGGGACCCAGGATCGGCAAACCCACGCCTCCTGGCCTGGGCAGGAAAGCGCGTGTACACCGATTTGGGGCCCATGACCGGCCTGGCCAGGATCGGTGCAGGTGCCTGGCTGGCGCCCTCCGAATACAAGATCGCGGAGACCAGCACGGCACGCGTCGCTGGGGTCCTAAAACGCAGAGCCAACTGCGGCGCCTCAGGCGACCGTGGCGGCGTCGTCGGCGCGCGAGCGGAGCACCATCTTGATACTGCGCGGCGCGGGGGGGGAGGAGGAGGAGGAGGAGGAGGAGGAGGAGGAGGAGGAGGAGGAGGAGGAGGAGGAGGAGGAGGAGGAGGAGGAGGAGGAGGAGGAGGAGGAGGAGGGAGGAGGAGAAGGAGGAGGAGGAGGAGGAGGAGGAGGGGAGGAGGATGGGGAGGAGGAGGAGGAGGAGGAGAGGAGGAGGAGGAGGAGGAGGAGGAGGAGGAGGAGGAGGGAAGGAGGAGGAGGAGAATGGGAGGAGGAGGAGGAGGAGGGGAAGGAGGGGGAGGGGGAGGGGGGAGGGGGGGGGGGGGCGCACGCAGCGCCGCCAGGGGACCGAGCGCCAACCCCGCAGATCAGCGCGGACCTCCGAACGTTCGTGTTTACGTTCTGCCAGGGGCCCCGCCGCCCTTGGCCCGCTGACGCAGCAGCCGCCTCGGGCTCTGCAGCGGGGCTGGCCGCGCCATACGCTCGGGGAGCGATCTGACCCCTGAGCCGCCCGCCCCGTCCTCGTCTTCCTTCGGCCGCGCCCACCCCTCCTCCCTCCTCCTCCTGCATGGTGGCACAACTCGGCCCAGCGGTACCCCCGCTCATGCATTTAATCGCCAGCGCAATCACCCTCTGCCTAGCTGCCGACGTTACAAATTTCACGTTCTGTCACCAGCTTGCCGCGTGATCGGCCCGAGGCGAGCCCAGCGGGGAGGGGAGAAGGGGCGGGCCTGCTCAGAAGGCTGGGGAAGCCTCGGGCCTTCTGAGAACTGGTCGAACCCTTCCCCGAAGATGCAAACGGATTTCTCGAGAAGGCCGGAGGGCTTCCGAGAAGCCCCGCCACCTTCTGAGAACGCCTTCGCCTTCTCACTTCCCTCCCCGGGCGCGCCGCCGATCTTCGTCAACTGGGCGGCAGTGGGCGTGGGGTCAAGAACCGCTCACCTTCTGTGCAGCCTGCTCGGCCTGCGGTGCCAGCTCGAAGGGGCCGCTCAAGGCCACTTCCCTGCAGCCCATCGAGCTGACTACCTGCCAGCCCACCCCGACCCAACCCGAAGACCCGAGTTTCGGGTTGGGGGGGGGGGGCGGCGGGCTTCATGTGCGTTTTTCCCATGCTCTGCCCCCCTCCCCGCCAGACATGGAGGGCAAATCGGGGCCTTCGGGTTGGGTTGGGGCGGTTTGGTGGGCAGTGACGAGCCGCCCCCCTGCGCTCCTTGCCGCCCTGCTGCCGCCCACCCGAGAGCTGGCCGCACGGGGCACGCTGCGGCGCTCCGCGCCGCCTCCCCGAGCTCCACGGCGTCCCTCAAAGGGGCTCCGCTCTCGCTCCCGCCGCCGCGCGCTGCCCCCCCCCCCCCCCCCCCCCCCCCGTCGCGCCCCTCACCCTCCCCAGGATCCCCCGCTCCTGCGTCGGCGCGCACCTCCACCCCCCCTCCAGGGGGCAGGGGGGGAAGGAGATGTGCCCGGAGCCCTCCGCTGAACAGCGCTGACGAGGGAGGAGCCTGAGGAGGGGGCGGAGGAGGGGGCGGAGGAGGGGACGGAGGAGGAGGAGGAGGGGACGGAGGAGGAGGAGGAGGAGGAGGAGGAGGAGGAGGAGGAGGAGGAGGAGTAGGAGGAGGAGGAGCGCAGCGTAGAGGAGAGGTGCCTCCGACCGACCACTGTGCTCAGCTCAACAGCTGAGCACACCTCTCCACACTCGAGCAACTGGCTTCGCCAGCGACCAGAGCGGAGGAAAGAGAAGCATGGGCGGCGGCAGCAGGCGGCGGGACGGGCGGCGGGCGCCTGCCTATGTCGATCATCACGTGCATGTGGGCAGCGAGCGATGTTTCAATCATGGCCGCGGGAGGCGGCGCGAGAGAGCGAGGGATAGAGGCAGCAGCAGGAGGGACCTCAGCAGGAGCAAGAGGGCGGGTCGAGAGGACAACCATGGAGCCACGTGAGCGGCGGACGGCCACGCTTTGGATGCGGGGACCGTACGTGCATGCGAGCGGCAGATTATTTTCGTCGCCACGCTCACAGGTCATTCTTGAAGCGCGGTGGCCAAGATTTCCACCAACATCCAGCAACGTTGGCGACGTCTGAGCCTGCAGCAACGGGTTCGAGGAGCACCCGTGCCCAGGACTTTGCGTTCTGCCAGTAGCTTCCAGCGGCATAGGCGACGACTGAGCCTGCTGCCACGTACTCAAGGAGCACCCTTGCACAGGACTTTGCGTTCTGCCAGTGACATCCAGCAACAAAGTAGGAGGAGGAGGAGGAGGAGGAGGAGGAGGAGGAGGACCACAGTGAGCCCAAGATGCATCAATACACCCTCGCGTCCCAGGTCCCCTGTTCACAAGTCCCTACAAGCCTTCCTCCTCCCTGCAAGTACGACCCCCTTGAAAGACCGACGCCTGCCACTCGGGCGAGGAGGCCCGTTTTGAAAAAGACCCGCCTTGCATCCCTCCGGCGCGAAACCAAGAGAGCGACAAGGTATGACCATACAGTTCAATGAGGGGTGTCCAGCGCGATGAGCGTCTTCAAGCAGGAGTGCCCTGCCTCACCAGCTTACACGTCCGGCTTACACGTCTGGCAAAACGAGAACCACATTTTGATGAGGATCCGCTTTCTATTGGTTTACCCATCGATCGGAAGAAATAGATAAAAACATGAAGTAGGAAGGTGTTGAAAGTAGATTGGGTTCCGTCCGCCCCCTAAGGAGGACGGAAAAGGTGAAGCCAATGGATCATTGAAATAGGAAGAGGCCCTTAAAGCAGATTAGAATCTAGGAATCCAAAAATACCTACTTTCAACGACCGATGGGTACCCGTCTCACCAGCTCGCACGTCTGGTCGTCGACGTTGAGGGCGTCTCAAACGAGAGCCACACAACCTTGCTGAGGAACCGCCCTCCGCCCCTTGCAGCTGCTGCATGTGTGGTCGCTTGTCATGAATCTATCAAGGAGGTCTCGAAAGAGGGAGCCCCATGCTGAAAGTGTAGGCGACCCACAGAGAGCCCCAGAGGAGGTCTCAGAGGTCTTCAAAGAGAGCGCCCCCTGCTGAAAGTGCAAGTGTCCCACAGAGAGCCCCAGCGGAGGTCTCCTAAGAGCGCCCCAAAGGAGGCCTCCAGAGAGAGCCCCATCTTGAACAGGCGCCGTTCCCACTCCGTGGAAGTGCTGCAAGCTTTCAGCACGAACGCGCGCGCGCGCCGCGGACCACCAATGCGAGAACCCCCTGGTGAAAAGGGCGCAAGCTTTTGGCACGAATCAGCGCGGCAAAGAGGCGAGAACCCTGCTCCGAGTTTCTTATTGAGCGTCGGGGCGGCATCACCCCCGCCGACAGCTCCACATCAACCCCGTCGCGGGCAGCCATTGCGCGCCGAAGGCGCTCCGACCCCCGTCACGGCGCGACGACGAGGCGAGGTTGACACCCGTCGGAGGGGGACCCCCCCAACGCTTATTAAGAGATCCAGAGTATGCTGCACACGACCTTTGCACCAACCTTGCAACTGCTTGCAAGCTGTTCGAGCAAATGTGCGCGGCGCTGCGAAGAGAACCCAGAGCAGGGCTGGGCCTAAACGGTGCTTTTGGTGATTTCGTGGGCCGTTTTCGTTTCGACTTCGTTTTGCGGTAAAGGCGGATTCGAGACCAAAGCGAAGAAAAACAAAAACAAAACGAAAACGAAAAGCACCGTTTTGGTTCAGCCCTGGCCCAGAGTTGAACACGACCTGTGTACCATCTTTGCGGATGCCGCAGAAACTGGAGGCGACTATGCGCGGCGCTTGAGCGGGGGGGTCATTTTGCCCCTCCCCCTCCATCCTCGGAAAAAGAAAAAGAATAATAATAAAAACAAACAATAAAAATCCGCCGGTCCCCTTGTGGGGCCACCAGGCTGTAGGCCCGTGATTCGCAGTTTCCTGTACCAGTCGTAGGTTGTAGTTTCCAGTGTTACAGTTCTGCTTCTTGCTGGTTACTGTAACTAGTTGACTTATTGCTGGTTACTGTAACTAGTTGATTGACCGCGCGAGGGGGGGGGAGGCCCAAACCGGCTTTTTAGCACCTCCTGGGCGCGTTGTCTGAATTGCTGGGGGGGCTCGAAATCGACACCCCTCACGCAGATCCGCGGGGTCAAGGTCCAAAAACACATGGGATTTGCCACATTTCTGAAATTCGGTGCCACCCCTCACGCAGATCCGCGGGGTCAGGGTCCAAAAACACAAGGGATTTGCCACATTTCTGAAATTCGGTGCCACCCCTCACGCAGATCCGCGGGGTCAGGGTCCAAAAACACAAGGGATTTGCCACATTTCTGAAATTCGGTGCCACCCCTCACGCAGATCCGCGGGGTCAGGGTCCAAAAACACATGGGATTTGCCACATTTATGAAATTCGGTGCCACCCCTTACGCAGATCCGCAGGGTCAGGGTCCAACAACACATGGGATTTGCCACATTTCTGAAATTCAGTGCCACCCCTCACGCAGATCCGCGGGGTCAGGGTCCAAAAACATATGGGATTTGCGACATTTCTGAAATTCGGTGTCACCCCTCACGCAGACCCGCAGGGTCAGGGTGCAAAAAAATATGGGATTTGCCACATTTCTGAAATTCGGTGCCACCCCTCACGCACATCCATCGCAAGGCGTGGTAACCCAAACTGCGAGTACTCCCTCGGCCCTTTAATCCCAAGGTGTGGTAACCAAGCTCGTAAACCATACACGTCTTACCAATCGCCCTGTGTGGTAACCCCTCTTGTGATCAGTTGGTTTTGCCGATTGCGAATCGGCCTCGCATGAAGTTCCGATACTGCTGCACGACAGCGCCAAAGCCTCATGACTTAGCTCTTCCATGGCCCATTCTCCGAGAGAGGGGGCCGGCGGCAGGGGGCGAAGCCCTTACGGATAATCAGAATTGCAGAACCATACATTTTTGACGCTCTGCACGGATTTCTTGGAGCTGCGCTGGACACCCCCTCGCCCTGGCGCGCGGAGCGCGCCCGCGCCGCCGGCGAGCGCCAAAAGTTTATGCTTCGGTGGTGGATGAACCTCCCTGTAGCAAGCCTCCCTTCAGTGAAAAACGGCCTGAGACCGAAACCGACGGACCTGGACCCGCAACAATGACGGCCGCGACGCCCTCTAGCGAGCCGAACACGGCCACTTCGCCAGTCGACGTGTCAGGGTGGGAGGTCGATCCACCCCCGAATGTTGTCGGCGTCTTCCTTCTTCGACAGAGCGGGGAGGGGGGGGGGGGGGGGAAAGGGCGGGAGCGGACGCCCTGGCGCTGCTTGGGACTCGGGACGCCCATCGGCTCCGTCGCTTCTCGCCAGCTCGAGCCCCGCTGCCGGCGGGGTCGTCGGCGGGGCCCCTGCTGCCCCCCCTCCCCCATTCCGCCCCTGCCTCCCCTCCCCGCCTCGCCCCCGCAGCCGCCCGGGCTCTGCGCTGCTCCTGCTCCTCCTGCCCGCCGCGCCCCTCGTCTTCCCCCCCCCCCCCCCCCCACCCTCCGCCCCAATCGCATTTACGTCGAGGGCGTCGATGGCCCTACAACGTCCGCACCAGAATCTCCGAAATAGGTCTTGGACGCCCCACAGAACGCCAAAAGATCTCAAACCAGATCTTGCCGCGAGAAGATCTTCAGGAGCGGCTTCTGGATTCCAGAAACCGCTTCTGTGACAAACCCCGCGATCAGCACACCCGGGGACCTCCTCCTCTCCCCTTCTCTCCTCGCCTAGAGGCCGCCGACCAGGTGGTGCCAGAGTAGATGGGGTCGGAGGATCGCGCCGCAGCATCACCAACGCATCGGCACGACGGGATGGAGAGACAATCGGGATCCCCATGCCGCAGCCGCATCGGCCACACGGCGCGATCCTCCAACCCATAATTGGGGCGGCCTGGATCGGGTCAGAGAAAAAAGGGGTTGGAGAAAGGGAGTTTAGCGAATCAGCTCACAAATCGGGCACGTCCTTCTACAGGCGGATTTTGGTTGAGAAAAAAATTAAGCAAATGTCATAACATATTCGAAAGAGCACGAACAATCGTCACCAGACAATGTTTCACCATTCTTTAAGACTCCCTCCTGTAGAGGAACATGCCCGACCAAAATTAGCTGGTTTCCCAGCGCCTCCCTCGCTCCGCAGGGGGCTCCCAGAAACAGCATACATCGGCGGGGCCGAAACCAACTGCACTGCATGCAGCAAGCTTTACATCAAAACGAAGCCAGGACGATGATAACATCGGGTGAGGGTAAATCGAGAATCTCTGAAATCCGGCGGTTCTGGAGGATGTCTCGGGCGCCAGGCCTGCTCAGAGCATTCCGGAGCGCTCTGAGAGCGTAGGGGAACGCTCCGGAAAGGATTTACCCTCGTCCTGGCCCCGTCCGACACCGCCCTCCCTTTCCTCACCCGACCCCTTTCGTCCGACCCCGCTGGACCCCCTCACCGCCTATCCTCGCGCACACTCTCCTGGAGCAGGTGCTCACGGACCACCTCTCCCGCCTTCCGATTCCCCCTCTTCCCCATCTCCCCTCGCCCTTTCCCACTCTCCTCCCCCTCCCGACTGGGACTGGGTCCCCTCCAGGTGGACGAAAATGTACAGATACTGCTACTCCCCGGACCTCTGCAAAGGTGCGTAAACTGACCAGAATTTCGAGGCGAATCCGGCCGTGGAGACGACGAAAGGGTAGCAATATCTGTATCGTCTCCTCCTCTGATCCCCACCGCTGTCCTCGCGCACACTCTCTTGGAGCCGTTGCTCACGGACCACTCCTGCCCCGCCCTCACCATGCAGATGTCCCCCTGCTCCAGCGCCTGCAGGCAAGAACAACCGACATCGAATCGCTAAATCGGATCGGACTGGAACTGGCATCGGATCGGGCTGCATCGGCACGGGATCGAAATCGGACCGACTCGGCCGAGCCAAGATACACAACTACAGTCGGTCCGTATCATAAGGATGCGGGATAAGGGTGCAAGGGCCCTGGACGCCCACTTTGAAGCTTCTCGAGCGGGGCGCGGCAAACAAAAATAAGTGGGCCGAGGAGGCAAAGATGGTTGCCCATCCTTCTTATGTGGGTTGACTGCAAGCCGTGTCAGCCAGGACCGGTTTTTGTTCGTCCCCCGGATTGTTTCTTTGACGGTCCGGGGTCCCGGCAAGGGACCCCAGCCCGAAAATTGCAGAAAGCTTCCGTCGTTACTTGAGCGACGATTCAGAACGGGTCTTACGCGAGATGGCACAGCGGCCTTACGCGGTGGCTTGGAGACGAGGGCGCTAACGCGCGACCTTACGCGAGCAGCTTACGCGCCAATGTCGGCGCAAACGACCCTGTGTTCTCACTTTGTCACAGGTCGAGGACCCCTCCATCCAGGCTCTTACATGGCCTCGGGACTACCAACAAACGACTCGCGGGATGAAATAAGGAGCCGAATTCTCTCTCTCTCTCACTCCCTCTCTCTCTCTATATATATGTACATATACTGACGCCTTTGTCTGGCCTCACACTGAATCTCGCACAGGAAAGCGGATCCTGGTGTATACGGGATCCTGGTGTATACACTCTTCATTGTTTCCCTGGGAAAACGGGGAAAAACGTATACACCACACCACCCCGACGTCGTCCCCGAACCTCAAAAGGGTCCTGGGATTGAAAAAACCGTCCGCCACTGGTAATGTATATGCCCCAGCTTCCGATGAGAGGCCCGTCCCGGGGCAGCGGTCGAAAGGTCGGGGGCCCGCGCCTCGCAACAATCCGGGCGCCGGATGTCTGGGCCTCGAGACCCCTTCCCCGGAGCCCGGCAGGGGCCACCAAGTAGGCCAAACATGGCGAACAAAAACCCGTCGTGATTTTTTCCTGACTCGAGGGGGTCTGCGGAGGGGCCGGGACCGCGTTCTCCTCCCGAGTCGGTCCTTGAACGGCCTCGCGGCCCAGGGCGGACCCCGAGAGGCCGAACATGGCGAAAACCCTCCTGTCGCGCTTTTTGTCACGGCTGGAGGGGGTCTGGGGAGGGGCCGGGACCGTGTTCTCATCCCGAGCCGTTCCTTGCACGCACGTGCCCGCGGCCCGGGGAAGGGCCCCGAGAGGCCGAAAACGGCGCCAACCCACAAGACCCGCCCGTGATTTCTGTCACGGCTCGGGGGGGGGGGGGGTCTGGGGAGCGGGGGAGGGCGAGACTGGGATCGAATCGAGCCAGGCGACGGAGCTGGCCGGGAGTCGCAGCGGAGCGGAGCGGAGACGGGGCGCCGTGGCGCGCGCCCGCAGGCCGACCAGTGGAGGGGCGGGGCGGGCCGCGCGGAGAGGCCGGCAGCTGGCCACGCGGGGCGGGGGGGGCACCGCGGGCGGACGCGTCCGCGGGCGGGGCGAGGAGGGGGGCCGTCTCCCCATCTGCCCCCTCGCGTGGTGAGCAAGAATCGCGACGGGAGGTTCTGCACTTCCGGATGCGCGGAGGGGGGCGTCCATCCTCGACAGGGGTGCGTCCCAATAGCACCCCGAATGTGCACGCCCGAGGTTCCCCCCTCTTCTCTCAGCGAACTGTTCTTTCGGAGGGGACTTGGGGATTGAGGGGGCAACATCGTCTGTGAAATCTGGCCCCCCTGTGCGTCGAGATTGTGGCCTCCGAAGGCTTACAGGCCGGGCGCGCCGAAAAGCCTCGACCAGCTGCGGAGGGGCGGGACAATAACGGAGGAGCTGGACAGCAGTCGGCAGAAGCCTGACGGACTGGCTTGGGCTGGGGTCGAGAGGTGCCCCCCGCTGTGGGCGTCGCCACGGTCATCGCGGTCTCCCTGCACGCCTCACGCTGACCAGACAGTCCCAATCAGACATATCACATGAAAAGTTCCCCCCCCGTGGGGAAAGGAAGCGCGCTCCCCCTCCCCCCCCCCACCCCTCCCCCCCCCCCCCCGGCACACACACACACACACACATACAAGGACAAACCAACACACACATCCTCTCCCCCGATGTGCCGCCAATGAGCAGTGAGAAAACAAGTATCCACCAATGTGGAAGCACGCAGGCACACACCAGTGCAACGTTGATCCTGGTGCCGCTCCTATTGCTGCTGCAACTCCTCCTCTCCTCCCTCCTCCCCTCCTCCTCCGCCTTTTCCTCCTCATCGCCCGCTGAGTCCAGTACAGTGCGATTCCCGTCCAGCAGGATGATCAACTGCTTGGGCGGAGCCGTGTGGACGTGCAGTAACAGCGTCTTCCCTGCCTCGGAATGGCGCGGCCGAGATTAAGCCGAATGGTATCGCAACGGACCATGAGATGAAGCGAAGTTCAAGTTTGGGGTCCGGTCCACTATGCGCTGGGGCACTGCCTGGCCAACGGCTCCGGTATCAAAACCGTGGCGCTGATCTGCGCTTGCTTTGGGGAGCCTGCGTCAGGCGATGCCAGGCCTGTGGGGCGCGGCGCCCTCGCCACATCACGCAACGTGGTTATCCTTCGCCCTGGGCGCTTTTGTTACCGTTTTGTACCACTGGGCTCTTAACAGGCCAAAAACGCCAAAACAACGCGACGGTGTTTCAGCATGCTTACCTAAATGTTTGTTTGTTGCGGTTTCAGGCCCGTCACTGTGGACCAGCATTTGTGTCAACGTTTTTTGCTTTCTGGTCGAAGGCTGCTCCGTGTCTTCCCTGCTGTCTTCGCTCCCGCTGTTTCGTTTCTGCCGTCGCTATTTCTCTCAACGCTGAAAACGACCAAAAACCGCTCTAACACAGGTCTCACGCCGGCCCGAAACAGGCCCGGAGGCCCGACTGCCCCAGGAGGTGCAATCGGCCGTCGGGCCCGCTAGACTGCAAGCCAGGAGAAGGACTGCACGCCAGGAGAAGGAACTGAGGACGTCGTAGAGGGCAATGTTAATCAATGCCGCCAACTTGTCTGAAAACGTCAAAAAACAGAGCTGACAACGCAAAAGACTGAATCGTTGTTTGAGCGTTTGTAGTTTTCTCGTTGAGCCTTAAAAACGGTAAAACATGATTTCCAACGCGCCGAATCAAAAGCGGTAAAAGAAAGCCCTGGGCATATTTGAAAAAGAATCGAGCGCAACAATAACAAACCTGCCTATGCGCATGGGCAAAGAGAAAGGGGGGCAGAGGGAAGGAATGGAGATGCCGCCTCGTATCGTTTTCCGCGGGGGCTGCAGGAGTGCCCCCCCCCGAGCGAGGAGGAGGAGGAGCAGGAGAACGAGGAGGAAGACGACGGCGAAGCAGAAGACGAAGATGAGGAGGCGGAGAAGCGATGAGATGAGGGACAAAGCATAAGGGAGGGGAAGCAGAAAGAAGGGCAGCAGGGGGAGGAGGGGGAGGAGGAGGAGGAGGAGGAAGAGGAGGAGGAGGAGGAGGAGGAGAAGGCGGAGGAGGAGGAGTAGGAGGAGGAGGAGGAGGAGGAGGAAGAGGAGGAGGATGAGGAGCAGTCAGAGGAAGGGGGTAAGTAGGAGAAGGACGATGAGGATTAGGGAAGGGGGGAAAAGAGGCAGGAGAGGGAAGATGAGGCAAGATAGTCTTGCTCGCGCCATATCTGACATCCTGCCTTCCCCATACATCCCTTCCATTGAGCTCTTATTTCTCTGCCGCAGACGGCTGTCACAGCGGACCTGGAACCCCAAGCATGACCCTATCGTGATATGCGCAGTCAGAAAAGTGGCGCTGTGTACACTGGATGAGGAGGCGGCAGATGAGCAAGAGAATGAGCAGGCGGAAGAGGATGACGAAGGATGAGGACGAGGATGAATAGCAGCAGCAGGGGCAGGAGTTGGAGAGGCGGGACGAGCAGTAGGACCAATGGAAGGCGGAGGGGAAGGAACGGGGCGACAGCGGCCAGGAAGAGCTCGGATGCAGAATTGTAGCCCGCTCTGATCGACGGGAGCAAATGTCGATCCTCGAACGAGGCCATCGCTGCAGCGGGAACACCGCCTTGAAGCACCGAACACGCTCCGACCTGCAAAAGTCGTATCGAAGGCTACCTTTTGTTGAAATCCTATATACATTGGGAAGCAATCCGCGGGAAAACAGGGGCTCCGCTCGGACAAGCTGCGGGGAGAGAGCAAGAGTCATCCGCCACCATGGCTGCGAGGCACGAGTTGGAGTGTCCTTCGGTCCCGTGCTCAATCCACTGAGCTGAGCCCCAATCCTAAATACCGAGTATCTTAAAAAAAACAGACCTCAATTTCTCAAATCTCCCAGGGCTCCGGGCGCGTCACCCGCATGACGTCTTCGGGCCCAAAGTGCCCAACGACGGGCAAAGAGGCTTCTGGCATGCAACCAAAGCGCGGTGGCGGGACGTGCCGGAAGCCAGTAGATATTGAGCAGTCGTCGAGGCGGGAAAGGGGAGAGAGAGGTGAGGTGAATTGCGTGAGGTGCTGTTCCTCGTTCCGCGGTGGCCACTCGGTGGAGCGGGGGGATCGACGCTGGGCGCCCAGCCCACATGATCTCGGGCGCGTTGCCGGACTCGGGAGGGATCCTGATGTCGCAGGACATGAGGCAGCCTCCGGGCGACCCTGAGAGTGTCCGCATGATCGGTCAGCATCGAATCGGGAGATCGGATCGAATCGGAATGTGCGTCGGATCGGGCTGCATCGGCACGGAGTCGAAATCGAATAGGATCGGCTCCGCCAAGATGCACAACAACGCTCACGCAAACTGTGGGCCGCATCGGGTCATCGAAATGTCAGAATCGAGTTGGATCGAGCCGGCCAGCATCGACGTCGACTCGGATCGATCGGATCGAAACTGACCCTACGTCCGGCAGGCGAGCGGAGAGAGGCGAGTGGAAGGGAGCAGTCAGGGAGCTACGGTGAAAAGCCACTGCTTCGCGTGCCGCGGCGGCGGCCCCTGCGACAGACCAGTCATGCCTGGCAAGTCGACCGCGGTGTGCTCTGCTTCGTGGGGCGGGAGGCTGGGGATGCTCGGAGCGTCGATGCTTTTGGGGACTGGGGCATGCTCAGCGCATCGCGGTGAAGCGCGGTGGGCCAGAACACGCGGCGCGGCACTCTGAGCAAGCGTACCTGACCGCAGGGAGGCGACGAGAGCAGGAGGAACCACCCCTCGAACCCCAACCCCCCTGCTCTCCCTGTCCACGCTCTCTTCGTCCCTATCCTCATCCTCGTGCGCCTCCTCCCTCTCCCCCCCCTTGCCCCATTTTATAAGGAGCCGAACTCTATACACCGACGCCTTTGTCTGGCCTCACACCGAATCTCGCACAGGAAGGCGGATCCTGGTGTATACGGGATCCTGGTGTGTGCGTTCTTCATTGTTTCCCCGGGAAGCGGGGAAAAAGGTATACACCACACCACACCACACCACCCCGACGTCGTCCCCGACCCTCAGAAAGGCCCTGGGATCGAAAAACCGCCCGCCACTGGTCATGTATACGCTCCCTTTTCCGATGTTATCCCCCCCCCACCTACCGCGTATTCGCCACCTCGTCCTCTCCTTCGTCCACGTCCAGGTCCTCGGTCCGACTCCCACGTCCAGGTCCTCCTGCACTCTCGCTCTCCCACGCCCTTCGCTGCTGCATTGCATGCTTCCCGCGCGAGCGAGGAGCACAGGGCCGCCGCCGCGCGCGGCGGCGCTGGCTGCTCTCGAACGGCAGTGCGCCGCGAGCACAAAGCGGGGCCGCCGCGCGCGCGCGACGGCGAGGGGGCCCCTCGAGCCGCCGCGAGCACGGCGGCTCTTGGCGCTCCCGGGCTGCATGTCTCCCCCCCGCGGAGAAGAGGGCGGGGCCGCCGCGCGCGCTGATGCTCGGGGGCCACAAGCGCGCGACGGCTCCTTGGCACCCCGAGCGGTGCCTCTCCGCGCGGGAACAAAGACGGGGCCGCCGCGCGCGCGCGGCTGTGGGCCCACAGGAGTCCCCGCGCATGAGTTGCAGCGCGCGCGGCGGCTCCTGGTGACCTCGAACGGTAACTACTTCCAACGCCGCCGCGCGGGCGGCGGCGGGGGGGCTTCCAGAGCCGCCGCGCGCGCGGCGGCCCTTTGTGTTTCCCAGGGATCGTATATTCCTTTATCCTATAAAATTACATCGGGAAACCCCCCCATGAGATCCGGGGGGGGGGGCCCGCGCCCACACACACCCCTCCAGGGCCCCCCAAGGAACCCCAAGACGCACCCAAAATGGTCCAAGAGGCAGCCCAGACGGCCCACGATCGGTCCCAGACGTTCCAAACAATACCACAGACGGCACAAAAAGCCGCCAAGACGCTCAACGAACGCCTTCAAAGCGCTCCAAGCGGGACTTACATGGCCTCAAGAGGGCCCAAGAGATCTCATTACATCCCGGAACGCCCTCAAGAGGCCACCAACACGCCCCAAGCGGTCTCCAAAAGGCCTCCGAAGAGGGCCCCATGAGGCGAAAATCGTTGATTATCATTGGTTTTTCCCATGTTGCTTGGCTTTCTCGCTTTTTCGGCTTTCCGACGCTCCAAGAAGGCCCGGGAGGCCCCCAAGAGAGCCCCAAGACGGCCCAAGCGGCCCCCAAGGAAGCCCCATGACGGCCCAAGAAGGCCCCAAGACGGCTCAAGAGGCAACCATGGGGGCCCCATGACGGCCCAAAAGAGCCCCAAGACGGCCCAGGAGGCCCCCAAGGGTCCCCCAAAACGGCCGAAGAGCCGCCCACGCCGGCCCAAGAGGCCCCCAAGACGGCCGATCCGAATTGACTTTTCGGGCCCTCGGCCCCAAGAAGCCCCCAGGATGCCCCAGGAGGCCCCCAGGAGGCCCCCGGAGGCCCCCAAGAGTTCTGTGGGGGAGAGTGTGCACCCGGACACAACACGCAGAATATTCCGAAAGACCCATCCGGCGTTCCTCCTCCTCCCACTCCTCCGTGAACATTTGGGCTCCAGCGGCCTCGCACATGTTCACGGCGGACATGCTTCGATGTACTGTGTGCGAACAGGATTGGCCCAAGTCTGACTTCAGCACGGAACAGAGACGGCGGTCCACTAGAAAGTGCGTCCGTTGCGCGGCCAGCGCCAACCCTGCCAGCCCCCAGCCTACTTTCCTCTGCGCAGGCTGTGGGGACGATTTGCCCCGAGACAGCTTCAGTAGCAGACAACGGCGGAGACAGACGAAGAAATGTATCCAGTGTGTCGCCGCTGCCGCGGACGCTCAGACGCCTCGGTCATCCCACGCCTTCACGTGCGTAAGCTGCGGAAACACCAAACCGACCGACGCTTTCGCCGTACGAGGCGCGGTCGCCTCTGACCCCGTCTGCGCCATTTGCATTGCCAGAGGCCGTCAGACCGCAGCCTGCGCTCAATGCGGCTTGGTCCTCCCTCATGACGACTTCGGAACCGGTCACCGCCACTTATTACTCGGAGTGTGCCGCGCTTGCACAATGCCCGGCCGACCTTCCAGCACAGTACAAACTCTGTCTTTGGGCCGCCAGGACCACCAATGCTCGCACTGCGGCGCATTCCTGTTCCAACGCGAGATGAGCGGCTTCTGTTGCGGTCATGGGAAATACGTCGTCGACTTCAACAGCTACTACCCCCAGCCCGATTCCTCCTTGCTCAAGCTGTTCCAACGGACGTGGCCAGTTACCGACACGCACGGCCGGCTCGTGCACGACGACACCACCAACGCACCAAAGCTGACGGGTTTCACTGCCGATTCTCGACGTTACAACAGCTTGCTGAGCCTCGCCGCCCACGAAGTCCAGAGCGCCACTCCTGAACGAGAAGTCCGATTTGGAAGCGTCTTGAGACCATCCTTCATTCGCATCCACGGCACCATGTACAGGAAAGTGTACTCGGCTGCCGACTGGGCCGGTCCGGTACCTCGTGGTGGACGACCGCGAACGCCGCACTTGCGCACGAGAACACGGCCTCGACCTGTCCATCGTCTCCCAGCTGGAGAAGCTCATCATACCGCACAATCCGCACATGCAGCACGTTCAGCACCTCAAATCCGTGTGGCCCCGTGCCCCACAGGCGTCCGTCACCCTCCGCTGGGACGAAGGCATCCAAGAAGTGGCCGCAGTAGTGCAGCAACGCCCCGACGCCATCGCCGAACCTAGGGCAGTGTGCTTCCGTTTGACGCCAGGCTCCCGCCCACAATACCTTTCACCCTTGCATTGCCTTTACGAGCCTCTGAGTTACCCGCTGTGGTTCCCATGCGGCGGCCGCGGGTGGAGCGCCGACGCCGTGTCCACATCCGGCAACCACGTGACGCAGATGTGGTGGTACCGCCAGCACCTCCTCCGCCAGCCCCACATGCACGCGTGCGGGCGTCTGTTGAACGACTGGCTCATCAACATGTACTGCCGGATGGAGGACGAAAGGCTGTCGCTGGTCAGGAGAGAGCAAAGCACTCGCACTGCCAGCCGCAAAGATTTGTGCGAGGCTCTGGCCAACGAACACATCCCCACCAGCGCAACTGGCACCAAGTACTACCTCCCCTCCATTGCCCCTGGCTCCCCGCGCCATCTCAAGCGGCTCCGAGTGGGCGCATTGGAACTGGCACGCCGGAAAGGCCCCCCCAACTTATTTCACCACCCTTACGTGCAACCCCCACTGGCCAGAGATCAAGGACGCACTCGCTCCCGGACAAACGGCCGCCGACCGCCCTGACATCACGGTGCGGGTGTTTCACGGGCGTCTCGAAAAAATGATGGGGCACCTCAAGTCGGAGTTCTGCGGCCAGCGCCGGTACGTCATCCGCGTGATCGAGTACCAGAAACGAGGTCTGCCGCGCGCACATATTGTCCTCGCGCGCACTGACCCACCCACCACAGCCGAGGAGGTCGACGCTGTGATTCCTTGCGAGGTCCCACCAGAACCTGGTAGACTCCGTGACTTGGTCTTGCTCCACATGATCCACCGATGCAACCACCCATGCCACCCTGACGACCCAGCCCAGGAATGCGTCAAAGGTTGCCCTTGGCCTTTCAAGGACGACACTGACTTCGACGTCCGAGGGCACCCGCACCACCGACGCCGCCCCTGCGGCCACACTTGCCCGAACTGCGTGCAGAAGGCTCCTGCGCACGGACGCCGAAATGCATGCTGCAACCAGCTCGTCGTCGAGTACAACCCCCACATCCTCCAGCTTTGGGAAGGACCGCCAGAACACCTCACCATACGTATTTTTCGACCCGCTTTCCGCAGACTTCCACTTCCCGCAAATCCTGCCCCGATGCTTGAGATTCGCCCGAGTCCGCATCGGCGAGCATCCAATTCACCGGGCCGAACGCATCCTCTGCATTCGAAAGCTGCGCGAACTCCGCCAGGTTTTTGAATAACTCGATTCCAGGGTTCTTTGTCGTGTCCCTCACCGCCTCTCTCATTCTCTCTTGCTCTCTTTTCCTCTTCCTACCTATCTCTCCCGCTCTTTTCTCTCTCTCTCTCTCTCTCTCTCTCTCTCTCTCTCTCTCTGCATCTGTTCTCTCTCCGCTTGCCTGTCTCGCGCCCTCATGCTACCCTCCCTTCTCCATTGCACTCTCCCTTCCTCCCTCTCTGCTTTCCTGTGTCATCGTCACCTTCTGCCCGCTAGT